CTCTCTCTCTCTCTCTCTCTCACACACACACACACACACAGAGAAATCACTCTTGACATCACCATGATGAGGTCATACCACACGCCACGAATCGAATAAAATCACAGAACCAATGGGCAAATCGTAAACCGGGACGGCAGTGGAACCGAGCCACATGCGCAAGCCAAAAAAGAGGGGGAGTTGCACAAATGTCCCGGGGCTTCGTCCCACTTACACCGTTGAGTTCAGGTAGCTCAACGGTGCGACAGACGGAAAAGCATTAAAATAATGGAAAACAAATGGAAACTACAATGGAAAAGCCTTTTTGAGTATTTTTGGGTAGTTTGTTTTCTCGGGAAAAAGGTTTTCTATTTCGTCGGGGGTAATGATGAAGAGGTACCAAAATGGGATGGTGGCTACCTCCTGACAACAACCATGACAACAACCATGACAACAACCATCCTCATAAAGCGGGAAGATTTCACAAAAGCGGGAGGCCAGTCAAGCCGTGCACTCCACTCACGTGGTGGGCCAGGGTGAACGTACCTGCACCGTAGCATTGTCCAGGTTCAAGGTCGGTGTCCACTCACGTACGGCCCCATCCTCCTTGTCTGGGATGAAGGGTCTGCGAATCTATAAGGCGATTGTTCAATTCCACGCCGTAGCAGATGCGGCACTGTGTTTAAAACTCGTACGGGATGCGTGTTTGTGGGAGAGTGGGGTGTCTGTGGTTTCAGGCTGTGTGAGGTTGAAAACTCTACAGCTACTGTGTCCTCACTTGTGTTTGGGCAGACCTTATCTGTGGCTGAGGCTGTCCGCCATTCAAGTATCGTTGCACTGGCTTGCTGTCGTAAAGTGTAAGGGACGTGTGTGGGTATCCTCGATAGGGTCCATAGCTACGACCCCCGCCCACTTACATTTCACGATACTTATGTGATTTTGGGGGGTTACACAGCATGGGGCTAAATGAAGAGGGTTACGAGGAGGCCATTGTCCCCATTCTTGCATGTGCTCAGCAACTTGCTGAAGATGCGGTTGGGGTCTTTGAAGAAATTTGGAGCAGGCCTGTATATATCACTTAATGTCCGGACGTTCTTTTTTTATCATTTTTTTCTATTTCATTTTTTTCGCTTTTCTTCTCACGCCCTGTGCCCAAATTCACGGACACATGATGACGCAGGAGGGTCACAATCAGGAAAACAGGACAGCGAGAGGAAAAGAACTTCCTCTTGAATGAACCTAACCACTAAACGCAGCCAAATTCAACACACGGGCACCTGTTGGCTGGACGACCACCTTGTTGCTCCGTTTGCAGAATCCGGTACTA